TACTTATGAGACTTATATACCCCTTTAAGTGCAAGCACTCTCTAAACGGTGTACACCAGTAAGCACTGTGTGTGTGTATATATATATATATTATATATATATATATATATATATATATATATATATAGATATATGTTTTCTGAGGTTTTCGCGGGTATTTGTATATAGGTCTTTGGTTGTTCGGGTTTTCTCCCGCGTAAAATTGGAAGTGTCTTGGCGACGTTTCGACGAAGTCACATTCGTCATCTTCAGGCTGGTGTTTTTAGCTTCTTGCTTCGAGCAGCAAGGGTGCTCGAAGGGATGCTGCTCGAAGCACGAAGCTGAAAACACCAGCCTGAAGATGACGAATGGGACTTCGTCGAAACGTCGCCAAGACACTTCCAATTTTACGCGGGAGAAAACCCGAACAACCAAAGACCTACATACAACACCCGCGAAAACCTCAGAAAACATATATATATATATATATATATATATATATATATATATATATATATATATATATATATACATACATACATTGCTTACTGGTGTATATATATATATATTTACATTGCCCCCAACAATCTGGGTCCTCATTTTACCTACCCCGGAAGGATGGAAGGCTGAATCTCCATTGACACTTACCTGTGTATAAAACATTGCTGGTAGGTGAATGTTAAGTTCTTGCAGGAAAGACCGATCCTGTCCTTCCTATCCTGAGCTGACCTTTCAGTCTTTGGGCCCTGCAGGGTGTCATAGACCTTGGGTTCCCCCCCCCTCCTCCACCCACCCACTCACCCACCCAACTAGGCTGATTTCACCCCCAGCATCCATCCAGCATGACGACACACTGTACATAACCAGTTTTCACATCGCTCTTTTGCCCAGAGCCGCAATGGCATGGATCCTGGAGGGGACCAGACGCCAACTGGGAGGTAGCCATCAGCCCTGAATTGCCCCACCATGAAAGAGGCAGACGATGGACACAGGCCCTGAGGACTCTCTGCCAGCCGCGCATGCAAGCCAACAAACTATTTCGCAAAAAACTTCAGAACGGTTTCCACACTTCAGAAACTGTTATCTCCTGGTTTGAATCAGATCCAAGCCTTTTATCATCTCCCGAGTCTCTTGATGTCTTGGCCTCAGCAAAGAGATTTCCCAGAGGTGGAAGGGAACCCGGAGGTCATCCAGCCAAACCCCCTTCTCGGAGACGGAAGGCGCCCCTGAGGTCATCCAGCCAAGCCCTCTTCTCGGAGACGGAAGGCGCCCCTGATGTCATCCAGCCAAACCCCCTTCTCGGAGATGGAAGACGCCCCTGAGGTCATCCAGCCAAACCCCCTTCTTGGAGATGGAAGGCGTCCCTGAGGTCATCCAGCCAAACCCTCTTCTCGGAGACGGAAGGCGTCCCTGAGGTCATCCAGCCCAACCCCCTTTTCAGAGATGGAAGTCACCCTGAGGTCATCCAGCCAAACCCTCTTGTCAGAAACGGAAGGCACCCCTGAGGTCAGCCAGCCAAACCCTCGGAGACAGAAGGCGCCCCTGAGGTCATCCAGCCCAACCCCCTTTTCAGAGATGGAAGTCACCCTGAGGTCATCCAGCCAAACCCTCGGAGACGGAAGGCGCCCCTGAGGTCATCCAGCAAACCCACTTTTCAGAGATGGAAGTCACCCTGAGGTCAGCCAAACCCCTTTTTCAGAGATGGAAGGTGCCCCTGAGGTCATCCAGCCCAACCCCCTTCTCGGTGTGGGCATCCACGATAAAGCATGGCTGCCAAGCTATCATGGGAAGGCATCAAACGAAGCAAAGCCGTCATCTCTCTGGGTCGTTGCTTTCAATGCTGGGAAGCTTTTAACTATCAGAAAAGTTTTCAGATGTTCTCCCTCTACCCACATATATTATATGACACAGAGAAAAAACACAGGCTAGTTCGGATTATGTGTACATGTGCATGGTGAGAAAAACGAATCTTGCGCGTTACGGTACCTTAACTACTACACCAGACTGGCTTTCAATTTTGGCCAATTATTATTTTTTTCCCCTTTTCTTTCCCTCCTGCTTTTTCTCTTTCCAGTCTCAAATTTCCCTTTTTTTCCCAATGCGTTTTGCATTACCAGGAGCCACCAACTTTATCTGCCCGTGTGTATGTGTATGTGTGGGTCAGGGGTCCCTTCCAGGCCTCATGCTATCAAACGTGCATCCTGTCATTCATGCCGTAAGATCCCCTGTTGCAAATCTTGGATTCGTGACACGACATTGCAATATTGTATATTTCATCATTTTTACATCAGCGTGCTTTGTGCCAGCTCTTTCGCTTTTTTCTCCCCTTTTCTTTAAAAAAATAAATAAATAAAATAAACCACTGCCAGGTTTCCAAATGATGGAGGTCAAAGGACAACTTGACTTGATTTTTCTCAAAAAAATAAAAATAAAATTAGCCAGCACTTAATTTGTGATCCCCTCCAAATTGTAGTTTGCAGCACCATATCTAGTGGTCTATCCTGGGTGGCATCAAATCAAATTATTTTTTGAGGGGTGTAAATTCAATATCTCAGGGGCTGCTCCTCCCAGGGCAGAAGTAAGTGACTTGCCAGATATTTAATAATCAGCTAATTTATATTTTCCATTACAGGTGGTCCTTAACATACAACCACAATTCAGCCAAAAATTTCTGTTGTTAAACAAGATACTTGTTAAGTGAGTTTTGCCCCATTTTATGACATTCTTGCCACAATTGTTAAGTGAATGACTGCAGTTGTTAAATTAGTAACACGGTTGTTAAATGAATCTAGTTTCCCCATTGGCTTTGCTTGTCGGAAGGTTCGCAAAAGGGGATCACGTGACTGTGGGACACTGCGGCCGTCCTAGATGTGAACTCAGTTGCCAAGTGTCCGAATTTTGATCACGTGACCAGGGGGATGCTGCAAAGTTTGTCAGTGTGAAAAACGGTCGTAAGTCACATTTTTCATTGCCGTTGTAACTTCGAACGGTGACTAAATGGGCCTTTGTGTAAATCGAGGACTACCTGTAATTAGGGAGTATGTTTCTTTCCTTTTTTTTTTTTAAAAAAAAGAATGTTAAACGGAAAAAAATGATATCTAAAGGAAAAATAAGACCCAGAAAGAAGAATTGTGGAGAGGAGGAGGAGGAGGAGGAAGAAGAAAAAGACTGGGATCCTTGGTGCTCTCTGAGCTTGGTTGTCTTCTTGAAGACGTTTCCTGACCCAACTGGGTAACATCATCAGTGCTAGAAGGGAGTGAGATTGGAGGAGGAGGAGGAGGAGGAGGAGGAGGAGGAGGAGGAGGAGGAGGAAGAAGAAGAAAAAGACTGGGATCCTTGGTGCTTTTTAAGCTTCGTTGGCTTCTTGAAGACGTTGCCTGACCCAACTAGGTAACATCATCAGTGCTAGAAGGGAGTGGGGTTTGCTATCTCTCTATTATATATAACTGTACATAAACAGACAGCAAACCTCTCACTGTCTCACATGGGTGATGTTCCCTAGAAGCTTATATGTACATAGAACATGTAACTGATGAAATGTCTTGGACAAAGAAGGAAGCGTCTTCTTCTTCCTCAAAGAACAAACAGTCCAGTTGCCTTTTGAAAGGGGGGGGGGAAGCACCTTTGAGATAACGGTGACCTGGATGACGGAAAACCTCCGTAGACCCCCTAGGAGCCCTTCTGGATCACCTGCGCCAGGTGGATTCATCCTGATAGTCCGGTTTTAGCAGCCTGTGGGAACAAAGCCATCCACATGCAGCCTTGGTCCCAGAGCTGACCTGGGTGACCCTTTCCTGGGTGTCCCCCTCTTCCTGGATGACCCTCCTCTGGGGATCCCCCTCTTCCTGGGTCTCCCTGCTCCTGGGTATCCCCCTTTTTCTGGGTGTCCTTGTGTCTGGGTCTCCCCGTCTTCTGGGTGACCCTCTCCTGCGTATCCCCCTCTTTCTGGCTGTCCCTGGCCTGGGTCTCCCCCTCTTTTAAGTGACCCTGGTCCTGTGTACCCCCTCTTTTAAGTGACTCTGGTCCTGTGTACCCCCTCCTTCTGGCTTTCCCTGATCCTGGGTGCCCCCCTCTTTTAAGTGACCCTGGTCCTGTGTACCCCCTCCTTCTGGCTTTCCCTGATCCTGGGTGCACCCCTCTTTTAAGTGACCCTGGTCCTGTGTACCCCCCTCACTCTGGCTTTCCCTGATCCTGGGTGCCCCCCTCTTTTAAGTGACCCTGTTCCTGTGTACCCCCCTCACTCTGGCTTTCCATGGTCCTGGGTGCCCCCCTTTTTAAATGACCCTGGTCCTGTGTACCCCCCTCACTCTGGCTTTCCCTGCTCCTGGGTGCCCCCCTCTTTTAAGTGACGTGGTCCTGTGTACCCCCCACCCCATTCTGGCTTTCCCTGGAACTGGGTGCCCCCCTCTTTTAAGTGACCCTGGTCCTGTGTACCCCCCTCACTCTGGCTTTCCCTGCTCCTGGGTGCCCCCCTCTTTTAAGTGACGTGGTCCTGTGTACACCCACCCCATTCTGGCTTTCCCTGCTCCTGGGTGCCCCCCTCTTTTAAGTGACCCTGGTCCTGTGTACCCCCCTCACTCTGGCTTTCCCTGATCCTGGGTGCCCCCCTCTTTTAAGTAACCCTGGTCCTGTGTACCCCCCTCATTCTGGCTTTCCCTGGTCCTGGGTGCCCCCCTCTTTTAAGTGACCCTGGTCCTGTGTACCCCCCTCACTCTGGCTTTCCCTGGTCCTGGGTGCCCCCCTCTTTTAAGTGACCCTGGTCCTGTGTACCCCCCCTCCTTCTGGCTTTCCCCTGGTCCTGGGTCTCCCCCTCTTTTGAGCGCCCCTCCCCGGGGGCATTCCTGGCCCGAACGCCCCTCCCCTCCCTGGGCGCGCTCCATCCCCGCCGGCCGGGCGGAGGGCGTCTGCCTCCAGGGCGAGGGGCCGGCGGGGCGCGCAGCATCACAATGCCCGGGCGCCGAGCAACGGCTCCGGCTCCTCCCGCCCCTCCGCCGCCGCCCTCCCGGCTCCGCCCCGGGCAGGTGCTATAAAGGGCGGCGCGGCGGGCGCTGGGCTGGGCTGGCTGAGCCGAGCCGGGCGGCGGAGATCGGAGCGGCTGCCCCCCGCGGCATGGACGGGCGCTGAAGGGCGCCGCGCCGAAGCCATGAAGACGCTCATCGCCGCCTACGCGGGGGTCCTGCGAGGTAGGGCTCTGCGCGGGGGGGGGCCTTGGGGGGGACTGGGGAGGGGGTCGAGGATGCCGCGCATCCCTTTGCGCGTCTTTTGGGGCTCCTTCCCCGCTTTGGTTCTCGTGGCAAGGGGAGGGCGGGAGGGCGGGAGGCGAAGGATCCAGACGTCTGAAAACCCGCCCCCGCCCCCCACCAGGGTCTTAGGATCAGCCTATTCTTTCGCTTGCTTTTCCTCTTTATGGAGATCCTGAGCAGTAGAGAGCCCTGGCTGGGAGTGGGCTGCTCGCTGGAAATCATCATAATCATCATCCTAAGGATGATCATAATAACAACATATATAGGATCTCGTAGGGATATAATATGATGTGATACAAGATACCCAGTATAAGTTATGTAAGGTAGATATAAGAGGAAGAGATCAGATAAAGGTATAAGATAAGTTATAAGCTAATAGGCTATAATGTGATATACAATATAAGAGATACAGTATAAGATATAAGCTAAAGGTTTAATAGAATAATAATCATAAGGATGATCATAACATATATAGGATCTCGTAGGATATAATATGATATGATACAAGATACCCAGTATAAGTTATATAAGGTAGATATAAGAGGAAGAGATCAGATAAAGGTATAAGATAAGTTATAAGCTAATAGGATATAATGTGATATACAATATAAGAGATACGGTATAAGATATAAGATAAAGGTATAAGATAAGTTATAAGATAATAGGATGTACAATATAAGAGATACAGTATAAGATATAGATATAAGAGGAAGATATAAGATAAAGGGATAAGGTAATATGATATGCATAAGGTGTAATATATATGATATAAAACATAGTATAAATTATATAAGATAGAAAATGAAGATATCAGATAAAGTATAAGATAAGTTATAAGCTAATAGGATATAATATGACACAATATAAGATATACAGTATAAGATATAAAGGTATAATATCAGATATAAGATAATATGATATAATATGATATACAATATAAGAGATACAGTATAAGATATAGATATAAGAGGAAGATATAAGATAAAGGGATAATATATGATATGCATAAGGTGTAATATAGTATATGATATAAAATATAGTATAATATAAGATATAAAATGAAGATATCAGATAAAGTATAAGATAAGTTATAAGCTAATAGGATATAATATGACACAATATAAGATATACAGTATAAGATATAAAGGTATAATATCAGATATAAGATAATATGATATAATATGATATACAATATAAGAGATACAGTATAAGATATAGATATAAAGGGATAATATGATATGCATAAGGTGTAATATAGTATATGATATAAAATATAGTATAATATAAGATATAAAATGAAGATATCAGATAAAGGGATAAGATAATATGTATAATATGATATGAAATATATATATGTACAATATGATGTACAGTATGATATATAAGATAGATATAAGATTAAGATAAAGGTAGAAGATATATCATACAATGTATATTAAAATATAATATATAATACAATATAATATATGTTAATGTTAATCTTAATAATAGTAGTAGTAATAATAATAATAATGTTGAAAGGGACCTTGGAGGTCCTCTAGTCCAACCCCCTGCTCAGGCAGGAAACCCTATACCATATATTCCTATACATTAATGTCACATTATAATATAATACAGGATTGTATAGGATCTCCTGCCATGAGCAGAGGGTTGGACTGGAGGATCTCCAAGGTCCCATCCAGCCGTATGCATTCTATGTTCCATTTGCCTCTCCCAGGTCTTTGGGAAGGACGAGAGGTGCCTAAAAATGCCAAATCCAGTCTAAACATCCGCTGTGCTAACCGCCATAAATAACTTTATTACTATGCTTTAAAGGAACCCCCCCCCCTTCCCAGTATTTGGCTTTGCCTGCTTTTCCTATTGGGAAGAGGTCAAAAGGTTAAAATCTCGGAGACCAGGGGAGAAAATGTATAGGAATGGAGAACCGTGATAGCAATTTCTTTAGCAATGATTTTTTTTTAAACGTATACCAGTATTTGGAAAACTAGAGTTGATTAAATGCACTGCAGTAAAATGCTGTTTATTTGCTTTTTTTTAAAGGTAATTTTTGGTTTAGTCAAGCAGCGGTTCTCAACCTTGGCAACTTTAAGACTTGTAGACTTCAACTCCCAGAATTCTGGGAGTTGAAGTCCACAAGTCTTAAAGTTGCCAAGGTTGAGAACCCCTGATTTATCCTTGAGGATGTTTGCCCACTTCTTCTTATCCTGGTTTGAGGTTGGCTTGCTGCACTGTCTATCTGGGGTTGGATAATGCTACATCTGTGGTCAGTTGGCCTTCCTTGCTTTAGGGCAGTGTTTCTCTACTGTGGCAACTTGAAGATGGGTGGATTTCAATTCCCAGAATTCCCCAGTCAGCCATATTGAATTTAGGAACTAAACTCATGCAAGGGCTGGATTTTCGTGTCATGCTTGCACAGGACTCCAGCATGCCCACACTAAATACTCACCATGGGGAGTTTTGAATGCTGGTTAATTTTTCAAAGCTTCGTACATTTTAGAACTTAGAAATGGGGTTTATTTTGGCCTTAACTTAAGCCTACAGGGAGGTGTAACTCTCATCCCATCTCAGGGCTCTTCAAACTTGGTCCTATTATGACTTGTGGACCAACTCCCAGAATTCCTCAGCCAGGCACGCTGGCTGAGGAATTCTGGGAGTTGAAGTCCACAAGTCATGCAGGGGCCATAGTTGCCCCATGCTGGCTGAGGAATTCTGGGAGTTGAAGTCCACAAGTCATGCAGGGGCCATAGTTCCCTCATGCTGGCTGAGGAATTCTGGGAGTTGAAGTCCCCAAGTCATGAAGGGGCCATAATTCCCCCATGCTGGCTCAGGAATTCTGGGGGTTGAAGTCCACGAGTCATGAAGAGGCCATAGTTCCTCCATGCTGACTGAGGATTTCTGATTGTTGAAGTCCACGAGTCATGAAGGGGCCATTGTTCCCCCATGTTGGCTGAGGAATTCTGGGAGTTGAAGTCTACAAGTCATGAAGGGGCCATGTTTGAAGACCCCTTGTCCAATCTGGTTATCAAAAAAGCTATTTTAGGAGCTCCGTTTCTTTTTGATTGTAACCAAGTTGACAAACAGATCAGGTGCTGCTAGGTGCCAATTCTGGACATCGAACTCTCTCGCAGCGGAGCTTCCATGTGTTAAGGCAGTCTACCTTTGAAGCCGTTTCTGCTAGGAACCCTCCAAAAGGGAGAGAAAGAGATCTGGTCTTCTGCTCTAACCGATCTGATCTTCGTGATCTTTTTAAACCCTGTTAGTTGTTATTTGAGGGAAGGGTGAACTTTAGATTCTCCAAACTCCCTCGGACTCTACCTCTAATCCCTCTGCAAGGTCAGAGCAAAGATCCGCCTGCCAAAATCCACAAGCTGCAACATTTTAGCTGCACAAGCACATGAGAAGGGTCAGGCCCGGCAGGACCTTTTGAGTGTCCAACTGCCAAAACACAGGGAGTCCTCGACTTACGACCGTAATGGATCCCCAGGTTTTTGTGGCTAAATGAAACGTTAAGTGAATTTCGCCCCGTTTTACGACCTTGCGTGTGCCCACACACACACACTTGTTAAGCGGATCACTGCAGCTGCGACGCTAGTGACACGGTTGTTAATGTGAACCAGGCTTCCCCGTTGGCAAGAAGGTCGCAAAAGGCGACACTGCGACCGTCATAAATACGAGACAGTTTCCAAGCGCTGAAGGTGGGGACGGGTCACTTTTTTCAGTGCCGTTGTAACTTTGAACGGTCACAAAATGAACTGCTGTGACTCAGGAACTACCCGTAGTGTGGTGTGTGTGAATCTTCTTTGCATTTCTTTGCAATGCTCTTCCTGCAGACTCCTCCACTCAAACATTGATTCGTTGTTGGTTGAACTAACCTGGGGAGATGATGTCCTCATTTAGATAGTTTAGTGCAGTGGTGGCGAACCTATGGCACGGGTGCCAGAGGTGGCACTCGGAGCCCTCTCTGTGGGCACCCGTGCCGTTGCCCCAGCCTTGCCTCCCCCTGCGACCCCCTCCTCTCCAGCAGCCCCCCTTGGAGGAGAGTCGCCCCCGAGGGTGACCCACCCGGAGCAGTGCAGCCAAGGACATGGCAGCCAGGCAGTGTAGACAAGACTCTGCCCTCACGCCCCATCATGCACAGTTGATGCTGCAGGGCGCGGGCAGAGGGCGTGGCTGCCATAGCGCTGCTGGGCTGCCTGGGCGATCTGCGGCGGGCCCTGGAGGTGGTGAGTGGCCCTGCGGGCAGACGGGGCGGGGGGATGGCGGGCAGAGCGGGGGGGCGGAGCAAGGAGGTGGAGCGGGGGCGGAGCCAGTTTTTGAGCACTCGGTCGCTAAAAGATTTGCCATCACTGGTTTAGTGTTTGAGCCAGTTTGGGGCAGTGGTTAAGGCACCAGGCTAGAAAGCGGGAGACGGTGAGTTCGAGTCTTGCCTTAGCCATGAAAGCCAACTGGGTGACTTTGGGGCAATCACCAGGAGACTGAGAATTCTAGTCCTGCCTTAGGCATGAAAGCCGGTTGGGTGACTTTGGGCCAATCACAAGGAGGCTGAGCGTTCTAGTCCCGCCTTAGGTATGAAAGCCAGCTGGGTGACTTGGGGCCAATCACCAGGAGACTGAGAGTTCTAGTCCTGCCTTTGGCTTGAAAGCTGGTTGGGTGACTTTGGGCCAATCACTAGGAGACTGAAATTTCAAATCCCGCCTTTGGCTTGAAAGCTGGTTGGGTAACTTTGAGCCAATCACAAGGAGACTGTGAGTTCTAGTCTTGCCTTAGGTATGAAAGCCGGCTCTGTACTTTGAGCCAATCACACAAGGAGACTGAGTTCTAGTCCTGCCTTAGGCATGAAAGCCAGTTGGGTAACTTTGAGCCAATCACCAGGAGACGGTGAGTTCTAATCCTACCTTAGGCATGAAAGCAGCCCTGGTGACTTTGGGCCAGCCGAACCC